TAAAACATAAGTATTTTTGGACCTGACACATGCATACGAGGTTGAAGGAGTAGTAGTTACAATGGAAACATGCATATAAGAGTCTTGCAGCAGGCGAGGAGATTTCAGGTTTCTGTGTTGATGCTGGTCGCATGCAGGAGCCGCGCGCAGCTACTGATGAACCCTAAGTTCCTCTCGATACTTAAGGCTGTTGTTGGCCCGATCTTTCGGTGAGTTGTGATAACTACGATTTGGGAGAAACGTTGACGATCCGACTACAACCGTACGAGACGTTGTGTTACGCCTTAGCGATCGATACACCTCTCCGTGGGTTGTTGATCTTGCCGGTGCAAATCAACCTTATTCCTGCAAGAAAATCAAAGAAACAAGCAAGAACAAGATAAAAGCAATCTGAATTGCAAATAGGAGTTAAATACGAATGATAAGTTGGGGTTCCAAAGAACAAGCAGACGGACGGTCTAGCCGACACGCGCGCTGCAAGCAAGTAGCAATGGCTAAACTTTAATCTATCAAAACCCGAGAAACCCTGAAGGGGTAACTAGCTATATATAGGGGTGGGAGGACGACCTAGGGGTGCCTAGGGTCGTGCTCCACCAGCTTGGGGCGCACCCCACATGGGCCCCACCTGGGCCGGGGTCCCAAATGAAGTTACAAGCCCACAGGCCCATTACAGACAATGCAGCCCATTGTTTCTTCAATTGCGGCTCACTGAGATGGAATATCACAATGAGGCTAGATCCATTGGAAAGAGGACTTCGGGAGCTTTTCATCAAGTACTCACGGGCCGAAAACGGAGCTCGAATGGAGAATTGACAGCCGTTTGAAGTCAGCAGTATAGCAGGTGGCCGAATCGGATTCCAGCACTTGGAGGACTTGATCTTGATATTTTCTTGTTCATCCATGATGTGAGCAATGGTTGCATCCGTGGTAGCCATGGTCACATCATCCTCCCCTTCTTCACGGAAAACCGTCCTCGGTTTTTCCATATGGTGCTCTTTGCGTAGTCCATTTACAACAACCTGTTTCTTCCAATCAAAACAAGGCAAACTCGAGACATTTTGGTTAGCAATAACATTTTTCTCTAGCTTGCATGTTTTATCCACATGTACAGGAAGTTCTAAATCTGAGCAGATGTAAACTCTATGCACAAAATATATTCTAAGATCATTATATTTGCCAAGGATGTGAAATATAACATTACGAGGACATGGCAAATCAGAATGAGCAAATATTTTGTCCTTCAAACAATTGAGCTCACAAGAATCATCAAACATAATATAGCCCAATGTATTTAAAGAAGATTGCAATTGAAGTTCATCATTCTCGCTGGACGTGTGAATAACATACTTAAATTCAGTACATGGAGAATCAAGATTAAAAGTAGCATGTTCATTCACTAGTTGTGGAATGGATATAAGTGAAGTACTATCGCACAACTCTTCTTTATTACAAGGAACAGAATGCAAATCAACTTGTGACAAAGGCAATTCAGAAGTAGGTTCCACTAAAGTTTGCTCTAGGTCAGCATGGAAAGTGGAAAAATATAATTCATCAGAAGCATACTCACCTTGAGTAATTTCTGCAACATTTAATTTACCTTTTATGCCCTCTTCAGATAAGGTAGGTGCATCAGCCTTCTCCTCATTCGTAAGTGATGGAAGTGACATCTCAAACATATCGTTCTTCTCATTTTAGGGACTGTTCTAAACTTCCTGCAAAACATCAGTGATAGGAGGCACAAGCATAGCTTGTTGCTCCGTTGGGTTCTCCAAAATTTTGCGCTCAACATTGCAAGCAAGCATGAACAATTGGCCTATATGATTATATGTCACATTAACAAGCCCAACTTGAATATTGGAATTAAGCCCTCTGAAAAATCTAGTTATTGTGTTCTCATTAGATTCTTGTAAATCACTATAAGTGATACAAATTTTAAAATCATGAAAGTACTCCCTAACAGTTTTGTCACCTTGTTTTAGATGTTCAAATTTCTCAAGGAGAGCATGTCTATAGTATGAAAACACAAATCTTTTTCTCATCAGTATTTTGCATTCATCCCAAGTTTCAAGCTTATTTCCCACAGTATGCCACCAAAAAGATGCAGAACCGGTACACTTATTACTAGCAGCCTTAATCATTTGAGCATTACAAAAATCATACTCATCAAATTGTTTTTCTACTGGTAGCTTCCAATTAACATAAGCGGCGGAATCATACTTACCATCAAAACCAGGCAATTTAGATTTTACCCTTGCAAGATCATTATCATGTACCTCATATGTGATGCGTGAAGAAGTCGCTATATCTCGTTGATGGTGAAGATGTTGACGTTGAGCATGACCATCTCGTTTCCCCGTGCGCAATCCTACCATGGTTAGTAGCAAACAAGAAACATACACAAAAATATGCGCGTTCCTATTAACTACTAGGTAGTGGCAGCTTAAAAATCACACACACTCAAGCTTTTAACCAAGCTCTTACAAGATCTTACCAATGCAAGCGGAATGGTGATGTACACCGACTTAACCAAGCACCCAAATGGAGGTTGGATGTATCGATGCCTTGGCAAACACTTGCTGTATGGCTGCAATCAGATCTGTGGAGCTCTGGGTAGACTTAAATATGTAGCAAAGGGATAGCAAATGCTCAAATCAGATAATGCAAAGTTGAATAATGGTTTAAAGTCAAGTACCGTGCTGGTCCTAGGCTAGAACGTGCTAGAGACGCGAGCCTAGACACAAACGATACCACAAGATAGCACTAGGAACAACTCATGCACAACTCTGATATATGAAGTTCAACTCAAACATAACAGTATTTTCTCTTTTCTTTCTTTCTTCTTTCTTTCTTTTTTCCTTTCCTTTTCTTTTCTTTTTTTTTTGGTGCGGCTTTTCTTTTCTCTTTTTTTTTCACCTTTCTGCCTTTTTTTTCTTTCTTTATTTTTGATTTTATTTTACAAAAACAGATTCAAGGACCTTAATGTAAGATTACAGGGACTCAAACGTAAATACAAAAATTACAGGGACTCAAATGTAAAAGTTCAAACCCAAAATTAGAACTGTACAAAAATGGAATCCTCTCGTCCTGTAGGTTCCGTTTTTGGAAATGGATTTTCAATCCGATACTCGAAAAATTTTCACCAAGCAGTATGCAAGATCACGGTATAGATTGAAACCGTGACCGAGAGGAGACACTCGGACTCGGCCTGGTCGCGGACCCGGGGTGGTGGTGGGTGAGGAAAGGAAGGATGCGGCACTACCTAGGAGTCCGGATATGGTGAGAGAAAAAAGGAAACTGATTTCAATCAATCTGATCTACTATTTCTTTCCAGATTAAACTCTCATACTTCCAAAAACAGATTTGGAAATTCTTCTTCCTCCTCTCTACACCGGCAACAAGCACAGGCCGATCTATTCACGGGCAAACCAGAAACTAAAGCAAATCCTAAATGCAACTCCAAAACTGACCGATAAAAAATTTTGAAAACTACAAAAATAGAACCGTGGCAGCAAGTCGATTCCGTTTTTGTAGGTCCCGACGACAACAGAGACACGGAGGCGACGACGACTGTGGTACAAAACGTGACCAGAACTCGAAACTCTAAACGAACTAAACGCTAACACCAGCAACTCGACTCGACGATGTAACACAAAACTTAACAAAGCAAAAACTGATAAAAACAATGCAATGGCACAATATGGCTAGGTACAGGACAATTTTTTTTATGGCAATTTTCTGGTTATGGGTAGATAAAACTCACCGAGCAACGAAAGCTCTGATACCACCTGATGGACCCTGAGTTCCTCTCGACACTCAAGGCTGTTGTTGGCCCGATCTTTCGGTGAGTTGTGATAACTACGATTTGGGAGAAACGTTGACGATCCGACTACAACCGTACGAGACGTTGTGTTCCGCCTTAGCGATCGATACACCTCTCCGTGGGTTGTTGATCTTGCCGGTGCAAATCAACCTTCCTGCAAGCAAATCGAAGAAACAAGCAAGAACAAGATAAAAGCAATCTGAATTGCAAATAGGAGTTAAATACGAATGATAAGTTGGGGTTCCAAAGAACAAGCAGACGGACAGTCTAGCCGACACGCGCGCTGCAAGCAAGTAGCAATGGCTAAACTTTAATCTATCAAAACCCGAGAAACCCTGAAGGGGTAACTAGCTATATATAGGGGTGGGAGGACGACCTAGGGGTGCCTAGGGTCGTGCTCCACCAGCTTGGGGCGCACCCCACATGGGCCCCACCTGGGCCGGGGTCCCAAATGAAGTTACAAGCCCACAGGCCCATTACAGACAATGCAGCCCATTGTTTCTTCAATTTGCGGCTCACTGAGATGGAATATCACAATGAGGCTAGATCTGTTGGAAAGATGACTCCGGGAGCTTTCCATCAAGTACTCACGGGCCGAAAACGGAGCTCAAATGGAGATTTGACGGCCGTTTGAAGTCAGCAGTGTAGCAGGTGGCTGAATCGGATTCCAGCACTTGGAGGACTTGATCTTGATATTTTCTTGTTCATCTATGATGTGAGCAATGGTTGCATCCGTAGTAGCCATGGTCACATCAGCTACGGACGATGCAATTGATCATGTTTGGCTACTCACGTTGCTGCGCGGGAGCAGTATCGCAGAGAAAAACAAAAAACGGATTTGCTATGGTCTTGCTCGAGCTCGAAGGAGGGAGGCAATCGAAGCGTACGTTGTTGGCCTGCAATCCGGTAAATCGGTAAGCTACTCGATTGGTGTTGGCCAGACTCCAGAGAAGTTATACAAGAACACCGACGAAAACTGGCCGCAGCCAAGGCTTGCCCGCGTTCAAAACGAAATCTCAGTTAGGACTCCTGACAAATACGGATTAAAAAGTAGATAAAATATTTTTTTAAAAAAAACACACATTTAAACAAGAACGAAATTGCAAAACAAAAAATTACAAAACATAAGAAATGATTGTTTGAGTAAACCACATTAAAAACGCAAGAATCGAATAACAGATAGACTACATAAGAGCTCATGCTATTTATTTTCCCACAATCCTTATAGGATTGTTCATCCCATAAAAATGTTATGAAGGATTTATAGAATTCAATTTTAATACTTAGTTTCGAAGGTTTTTATAGGATTTTTTCTATAGAACTGAAATCATCAAAATTTACTATGCTTCTTACAAATCAAAGAGAAGCACAAATTGGTGACAGGTGTAAACTAATCTTCAGTTGACCAATTGATCTGAACTCTTCAAGCTTCAGGTAGCCTGCAAGTTTCTCCAGCTAAGGTTGCGCCTTCGTTTGGTGCGAAATTAAGATGCCGTGTCACAACACGCACGGCGCACGGCGTTGCAATCCTGCATCTCTCCTTTTCGACCGTGGCTGCTCGTGAATTCGCGACACGAGATCCCGCGGACTGGACGAGTACCATGGATGGCGCTGCTTCTTTTCACTAAACCAACTTGCCTGGCAAATATAGCACGTAGCAGCTGACTAGTGGGGCCACTAGGCTAGCCACTATCCATGCTCCATGACAGTCAGCATCAGCACCATGACCACTGGCGACAAAATATGATTTTTTATTAGCGCCACCATCACCAGATCCAACACCGTTGAGCCCGCACATAACCCCTTGCAAAATCAACCACGGCTTCCAAAATTTCGGTGCCATGTTTGACAGCTCAGTTCTTTGGCAATGCTCAGTGAAAATGCACGATTGGATGCAATTACATCAGATGGTGTGCATTCCTGTAATATCTATTGATGTACCTTGCCTGCGATACAATAGGTACAGGGTTAAATCCAAGACAAAATATACCTGGTACTATGGTAGTATGTTCCAAGAAGTATCCGAGGAGCGATATCACATACCTTTACGTTGCTTACATCAGGAGTATCTAGAGTTTTTACAGGATAAAATTTGTAAAATTGGATATTTTCAAATGCCTCTTTGATCTTAGGATCCATATCATCAATAGCTTTCTTTCTAGCTTCCTTAGCCTGCAAAAGATTTGAAAACAATGAGTGCACTTGAATGCATTAAAACATCTGGACATCTGGTAAAAGTAATTAACATTTCAGTTGACTGACCTGTTTCAGCTCTCTTTTTCTCTCTCTAACCTTCTCCTTTAGGAATTCCTGCCAAAGAAATGTGCCACTAGTTAGGAAGGACAACTCAGTGAGCTGATTATCATATCTTAAGCCGACTATTCTTCTGACAGCTTAAGCAATACTAATAATAACAGGCACCTTCATTTTTTCTCTCTCATCCTCCGGTAGCCCCTCCTCTTTAACTTTCTCATCAGCAAAGTCCTGCATTTCAACAGAATGACTCCAGACACAGGTTACTTCCAAAGGTAGAACCAGAGCAAAACTACCAAATTAGTACAAACCTCATAATCATCCATCTCCCAGTTAAACTCACAAAATATCTGCAACAAACAGTACAAAGTAAATACAAAATTATTCGACAACATACTGAAACGTGGAAGCAAATATAAAAAAGATCAAAAATAGAGGTATTTAACTAAGTTTTTTTTTAATAATTTCAGTGTTGACATTAACTAAGCATGGGCAGTGGTATAGTCATTTTACCTTATCGTTTCAGAGCAATCAAAAATTTGCATCAATAGCAGGAAAAACATCACAATTAAAATTTCCACCAATGGATAGAAGTGACCAGCCTGATAAGCATGAAAACAGAACCTGGACGCCTAGGCAATTACACAGACAACTAAACAACCCCATTAAGCTAACAAACAGCAGCAATTAGATTTTGCGTGAAATAACCAGTATGCAACAGCAATTAAGAGGAAATTAATAAGCATGCAGCAGAAGTTAGAAAATAATCAGCCCGCAGTAGCAATTATGGAAGAAAATAATTGATGCAGCAGCAATGAGAGGAAAAGGCAATCCCTCGCTCTCCAGGCTGCTGATGGAGCAGCTAAAAAGAAGTGATGGTAAGAAGGTACGAAAAATTCAGTGATGACAATTAGGTTGGCAGCAGCAGTTTCAACAGCAAACTCCACCCCATTTCGATCTGCCTCCCATGCCCCCCGTCCCACCCCACCCCCAAACCAATCTCTTTAGGCAAGGCAATGGCAGTAGCAACCTCTCTAGAGTCTAGACCACCTCGACAATTTGAGCAATGCATTGATAAGTGATAACCATGTTGATAAGCCTAAAAAAGGGCAGAGCTGATGTGTTTCAGGCTCAATACATGGACCAATTTAGGAGGGCAATCAGATTAATAGGAATAAAAATCTCTCCTGATCCAACTGATCATGATGAAGGTAACTACATTGTAGGAATGCTAGTATGAGGATAACAGCAGTAAAAGTCAAAAGATAGTGCTTCGTCAAAGTTGGCAGGGGGCACCAGCAGCATGCGGTTTGGTTTTGACCTCAAAAGCTAGTGCAAATGAAGCATCACCAACATAAGCCTAGAGGTGCGTAGAAATAAGACAGAAAAGGTCAACTCGAGCTGCATATACGATAAAATTTATCTTCTCACACAAGCTACAGCTTGAGTTGACATTTTCTGTCTTGTTTCACGGCAGCTTATATCAATGAAAATGAAGAGAAGCTACAGCTGCATTTTGGTCAGAGGTTCCTTAAATGTTGTCTTAATGAACAAACATCCCAATTATAGGCTATAGTAAAAAAATATATTACTTTGCAGATTACACATAATGTGATGATTACAGAAAATGTCATTTTGTTACAGTATGTGTTGATCACAGGACTCAATAACATTAACAAACAGCTGTGTTAAAAGATTGTTTAGGCAAAACTGGAAATGAAAAACATACTAAAAGAAGCTTACCGGTGGTTCAAAAGGATATAGGATATTGATAACTGTATCATCTTCATTTTCAGGAGGATTTAGTGGCATATAATCTGCAATATCATTGAACAAGGTTCATTGGCAGATCACATTACTTACAAGTCTCAACAATTTTCTTAAAACATTTCACATCATATGTATGTAATAATATAAATCAAACGATGTAATAAAACAGTTGATCATGAGGAATTATAGACAACTTAAGACCTCAGGTTGTGCTACGGAAGGACTTGAGTAACCTCTTTTGTTGTTTCGCATGATTGTTGACCTTGCCATGCTCCGACATTTTATAACAAGATTTATGTGGTATGTCTATGGTTGCACCACAGTTACTAATATTAAAGGCACAAACGCCACTGGAGATCAGTTCATTACGCAATGTGTTACATAACTGGGAAGAAGTACCTCGGACACTCCGACCCACAGTCAACACAGGATATGTAAATGGTATCAAATAGGCAGTGGTCCAAGATGCAGTTTTAACCAATAGTTATTAACCATATATACATGCCATTTGTGGTTTTGCAAATAAATACTAGCCATCCAAGTATCCAACACATGAAAATCAGCCAGCTAAAAGCCCATCAAAGTCAAAAGGCTACTACACTCTGGCCGAATGTAAATTTGTCTGCCAATTCACCCATTGCAATGAAATTAACATTTTTTTTGTTTTTGAACTGAAACAGCATGGGAATGACTAGCGAAAAGCTTCTTATCCCATGACTGACGCATTTGCAACAGTTTAACTGAGACACCACAGGGTTTTGCAGGATATAATGAAAAAATTCAAATAGGAAAGACTCTACAAGCATTCAAAGAATCCTACGAAAACAGGTATTTTTTAATACACACAAAACACTTAAATAATAATCCCAAGTCAGCTTACATGGCATGCAGTAGTCAAACAGCTTGACTCGTTCGGTTTTGAGATGCCTCAGTGCAGACCTGCAACATGTACAGACGAGGATACACTGGAATGTCAGAAGAAAAATCTAGGGAAATATGTGAACAGTGGATTTATGTTGCATGCTTCTGGATGACAACATCCTAACAAACAAAAGAAGGATAGAAACAGAAACATATGCCCCCGAGCATGATTTGCTAGTGAGAACAAAGAACAGCATGAGTAATACTAACCTCCGCTGAGTGCAGCCAAGAGTAAATATTTTTGTTTTCAAACTGTCAATCCTACTGAGCCTGTAGAACCAAAAAACAATAAGCATGAGCAAAATGCAAAACTACAAATGATGATTGGTAAAAGAAGGTTACCCACTAATGATGGGAACAAGGTAATTATATAGGTTCCCAAAAGAATGTTAAGAAATACTATGAGAGTACCGGTCCTCTAGCGGAAAATAAGGCACCCAGGCCATCTTCATTGCTTTCATTGGCAATATCTCTTCATTTTCCCTTTGGACAGAATTTATACCAATTTTATCTGAAGGAGGAAAAGGACAGTCAACCTGCAACACAGAAAAGAGTAAAACAGGTGCTAAATGAGATTCAACATGCAGCAAGTAAATAGTTATATACTTAAGTTAGTGAGGTTTAAAAAAGTCAACTGCCAATGGCACTGTAACCTGTTTAAGGAGCAAACAAAACAATATTGGAGTAAAACAATACAGTAAGGACCTGGAAGTTGGTCCTCTAGGGTTTTATGAAACAAAGAGATCCCACACCAAATAAGTTTTTAGCAGTATACCAGAAAAACCAAGAAAAAGAAAAGCTTTGGGTACTGGCATTATTCAAAAATAACAAATGTAGGGAGTACAAACATAGTCATCAAGTATGTTGCAAATGGTATGAGATGTTGAGATGCCATAAGCATGAGATAAATGTTCAATTTAAGTGTATATGTCAATGTGGACCATTTTCTTAGATGTACTTTTCCAGTAATGTAGGTCAAGAGAATGGAAGTGAACTTACAGCAACTACAATAGGAATAAGTACTATCTTCGATTCGCCATTCACACCCAATAGTTGAGCTGCATGCCAATGGAAATGAGCCAGTCAGATAAACTGTCAATAATTATTTAACAATCCGGTACATCCCAAGTATAAATTAAAAGGATATAGAAAGACAAGAAAACTTTTTTTTCCACACACACATGGTGAAACAAATGACCTTTGGTACTAATCAACTTGAAAAAAGGCCGACTCGCATTGGTATGTGTATCACGAATTGGAGAGTTAATTTTTAGAACAAGTGCGAGAGTAAGACTACTTACGTTCAGTGCTTCCAAACAAGTAAACTGTTTTCTCATAAAGCTCTCCCCCTTCTTCTAGGGCTTTCTGATCACCAACATTAAATCATATGTCATGCTGAAAGCAAGTGTAATACTAATATCCAAAAAAGAGTAGTATTGGAAGACTATCTGCACATCATACCTCCAAATTTTCAAAGTTCCAGTTGAACTCCTTTATCTTATCAATATTTTCCCACTGCAGATGACAGGCCAAGAAATAAATAGCAGTTAGCAGTAAGGCCAAATGCCTATAACATACAGCTTTATGTATGCTAAAATTTGCATCATTGACAGACTCAACAGTAAATTGAAAAAAAATTGAAATAGGTTGAGCCCATGGAATGCACACAAACCTCAGTCCCAACAGGAAAGGCTGACAACCAAAGATCTTCCTGAACAAGGCCATATATCATTATGCATAGGCATCAAAATAAATATAGCAGATAAAAATAATGGATATAAGGACGGTAATGAAAATAAAAAGTCATGATGTGGCACTAAAAATGGTCATCACACGTAGAACAACTAGAAATGAATGATTGCCATAGAGAATTTCAGATGGTTTTATTTTGTTGCTGCAAATTTTCTAACTTGTGCTCGCTGAACAATTGCGTGTTCTACTTGTATTTTCTTCCCCCCCCCCCCCCCCACACACGCACACACAAAAAAAAAATGTAGCATCCTTGTTTAGTGTATGCATAGAACTATATGTACCCTTTTTGCCTGTTTGCAAAGACAAATTCATTGTCCAACAAGTTCCTTTTATAACACATCACACACATTTCCAAATAATTGATTACTCTAGGATTGCTTCCATTAATGGAAAAATTTGTTGCAGGCCATCCTGGTTCTATGGGATTTGTTGTAGGACACCACAAAAACGTGTTTTCACCACAGATCATGCCAGTTTGAAGTTAACTTGCCAAAACATACTATGGTCATTATTTTAACACATCTGGCTCAATTGGAGAGATTAAATTTTATAAATGGCGCTTTTACCCTCGTGCCATCCATTGACAAACATCTAAAAATGATCAAGTAGTCAAAACAAGAGGCATTATGCGGAAAAATAAAGTACTAGATCAGATGAATTTAGTGTCAGTATAATCTTTTGTGATCTGATTGTGATTGTTAAACAGGTTGAACAAGTGCACAAACATCCTTTCTAAAAATTCTCTCTCCAGTTGATCCGGATATGTTAGAATAATGACCAGAGCGCGTCTGGGCAAACGACCACAAAACCAAAGTATCGTATGGCTAAGCCACATTTTTATGGTATCATACGGTAAATGCCACAAAACTAGGATGTCCTGCAACAAATTTTGCAATTTCATTATTTCAATGACATCTCAAAGTTCACTGTGACATATTGTTCAGACAATCATCCCATATAGCAAAGCACTTGAGAATAAAACCATTGCTAGCACTGATCTAGAACAACAGGAAATCCCACACAAACGTGGCTAGATTTTGTTTCTCATCACCAACAATGCAGTAATTCTACGGCACAGCACTAAACACGAAAATCCTTCCTAATGAAATGGGGAACCAGTATAGTCCAGCTAAATCCAGTCACATGTTAACCATGAAATTTCGGTATTTGAGCGGCACACGCAGCGAAAGGCAAACCACCACCATTTGGACTAACCCGACCACGCCAAAGCGAATCCAGGCCAATCACAGCTCCCCCCCCCCCCACCCCCCCAAACGGCGATACGGAAAGCACGCATCGGAGCAGGGTAATCGGGAAGCCTTCCTCACCAGATTCCGCTTATCGGGGAAGTACTCCGCCTCCGTCTCCGGCTTGGGCGACGCCTTGACACGCTTCCCCCTCCCCCGCGTGGCCGCATCCTCCTCCTCCGCCGCCGCCGCCGCACGCTTCCTGCCTCTGGGACGCGGCATCGCTCTCGATTAGGGCTTCGACCCAGGCGGCGAGGCTGTGAGTGGAGTGACGCTGTGTGTCACACCGGCTGGTGTGCCATCGGCGGCTGACAAGGTGGATACCGGAGAAGTGCTGAAGAAGAAGAAGAAGAAACAGCAAAGGCAGATTCTCATTAGACGCCTTCGCTGAGGGGATACGTATTTATGTATATGTGAAACCTGTGTCTGACTTGTGGACCAGGAAAGGGGTTTAAATTATGAAGGGGTCGAACAACTATGTCTGCCGATTGTCAAATAAGAAAAAAAAGGAGCAACCACCCCCAAATCCTCACGCGTTCACACTGTGCCCGGCGGCTCGCAGCGGAATTTCTCGTCGTCGGCAAGCGGGGTATAACATATGGTATCAGAGCAAGGCAATCCGTGTGCGCGCTTCCTCACACTTTCTTAATCCGACGGTAAAATTCCCATAGCTCAGTTGGTGATACCCGCAAGGGTTCGTCGCCGTAAATCTGTTCGAGGGTTCGTTGGATTCGGAGGAGGAACACCACGGCACCCGCTAAGCAAGGAGTCCAGGTGAGGTAGGTAGTGGCGGCGATGAGTGAGATGGAAGAGAGATTGCTAGCAGCGGTGGAAAAACTGGCAGAAAAGGTGGAGCGCATGGGGTTGATCTAGGAGAAACTGGAGGCAATGGATAAGAAGCTCGAGAAGCAGGGGGAGAGACTGGATCAGGTGCAAACCAAGGTGGATTTGTCCATGGAATCCTTGGGGCAAGTACATCAGGAGCAAATTCAAGTCTCGCAGGCGGTGCGGCGGGGAGCACCGTCTCCGATCGCGACCCCAACCCGGACGCTGGAAGGGACCTCGTCGGTGACTCGAGAACGGCCTCAGGTAACAATTCCAAATCCAGTTCCGTCACCACCACCCAGGGTTGAGACTGAAGAAATAAATGCACGAAACATTGGGGAAGGGAACAGGGGAGGTAACCAGGAGCATCAGTTTAGGAGAAACATGCCTAAGATGGACTTTCCGAAGTTCGATGGAACTGACGCTGGGGTATGGGTAGACAATTGTGAAACATATTTTGCTATGTATCAGATTCCAGCTGGGTTTAAGGTTTCAGCCGCATCACTGAATCTTGTGGGAAAGGCAGCTCACTGGTATAAAGCTTGGAGGCAGAGAGTGGGTTTGCACGGATGGGAGCTCTTTAGGGATGCTGTGGTCCGGGAGTTTGATTTTGGAACTCATCACATTAAAGCTAATGCCATGTTCGAGTTAAAGCAGACGGGTACAGTGGATGAGTACAAAAGTCAATTTGATGATCTGTTGTACAATGTTAAACTGTATGACAGGACTGAGCTTGGGGAGGTTTGGGAGGTAGGACATTTTGTTGCTGGGTTGAAGGATGTTCTAAAGACCCATGTGCTATCCATGTTACCTGAGACTGTTAGTCAGGCCTATCATTAGGCCAAGGCAAATGAAAGTGTGATGGGGGAGGTTGCAGAAGGAAAGAAGAAGTGGGGCTTCAGGACTGGTAGAAGTAAGGGAGGTGAGAAACCAAAATTCTCTACTGGGGAGTTGTGGAAGGCTCAGCAACTGAAGGAGTACCGCAGGATTCATGGACTTTGTTTCAAGTGTGGAGAAAAGTACAGCCCTAATCATCAGTGTGCCCAACTTCCAGCTGCCCAGGTTAATGTGGTGGAAACTATTGATCATAAGGCTCTTTTGTCAGATGAAATGCTTGAGGCTGTAATGGATGTGGAGGATATAGGACAAGATCCTGATATGTTTCTGTCTCTTAATGCCCTAGCTGGATGGGGTAATACTGGCACAATTCACTTAAGAGCCTTGGTTCAAAATCAAGTGTTGCCGATCTTAGTAGACTCGGGCAGCTCGCATAGTTTCCTCAACTCACACTTGGTGGAGAAATTACAATTACTAGTTCATAATGTTCCCACAATGACAGTTAAAATTGCTAATGGTCAGCAAATGTCTTGTCAACAAATAGTTCACAACTTTGAATGGTGGATTCAGGGGAAAACATTTTCTCATGATATGAGAGTGTTGGATCTGGGGGGCTATGATGCGATTTTGGGCATTGACTGGTTGGTGAAATTTAGTCCGATGACCTGTAATTGGGTGGACAAGTGGGTCTCCTTTGTATACAAAGGTGATCAGGTGCGGTTGCAAGGAGTTAAGCCTACAGTTGCTCAACCCCTTCCTCTGCAAGCAGTTTCAGCAGAGCAATTGTTGAAATGGCATCAAGGTAATGAAATCTGGGTTGTTGCTATCGTGCAACCAGGAGACAAATAGTTGTGTCCTCCTATCCTGCTGAAGTTCAACATCTCATTGACAAATACAGCATGATCTTTCAAACTCCCTCAGTCTTACCTCCTCAACGAAGTTTTGATCATGCTGTCACCCTACTTCCAAACACAGCTCCAGTCAATACAAGGCCTTATAGATACTCTCCAGCTCAAAAAGATGAGATTGAACAACAGGTGGCTGACATGATAAAATCTGGGTTAGTGGTATCTAGTCTGAGTCCCTTTGCATCTCCTGTGCTCTTAGTCAAGAAGAAGGATAATTCCTGGCGTTATTATGTGTCGATTACAGAAAATTGAATGCAGTTACTGTAAAGAACAAGTTTCCACTCCCTATTATTGATGAGTTACTCGATGAATTGGTCGGTGCTCAATTTTTCTCTAAGCTGGACTTGCGAAGTGGATACCATCATCAGGATGAAAGAGGAGGATGAGTTTAAAACAGCTTTTAAAACACATCATGGCCATTTTCAGTTCAAAGTTATGCCGTTTGGCCTCACAAATGCCCTTGCGACATTTCAATGCTTGATGAATTCAATCTTTCAGCCTTACATGAGAAAGTTCGTCCTAGTTTTCATGGATGACATATTGGTTTACAGTAATTCCTTGACTGATCACTTGTCTCATTTGGAAATTGTGTTTCAAGTCCTATAGGCTCATCAATTAGTTGCTAAGCTCAGTAAATGCTCCTTTGCAATGCAAGAACTCGAATACTTGGGCCACATGATTTCAAAAAATGGAGTAGCGACTGACCCTGCTAAAACCTGGGTGATGCAACAGTGGCCGGTTCCCTCATGTGTATCTGAGTTGAGAGGATTTTTGGGGCTTATAGGCTATTACAGGAAGTTTGTTAAACATTATGGGTTGCTCGCGAAACCTCTCACTGAATTGTTGAAGAACAATAGAGCCTTTGTATGGACACCTGCTGCCCAGGAAGCTTTGTTGCCATGAAACAAGCTATGTGTTCTACCCCGGTTTTAGCACTGCCTGATTTTTCTAAAACCTTTGTCATTGAGACTGATGCTTGTGATACCGGGATTGGGGCTGTTTTGTCACAAGAAGGGCATCCCTTGGCATATTACAGTAAAGCATTGGGCACTATGAATCAGAAACTATCCATTTATGAAAAGGAGTTTATGGCCATTATGATGGCAGTGGATAGATGGAGACCATATCTGTTGAGAGGTCCTTTCATCATTAAAACAGATCACAAATCTCTGTCATTTGGACTCTCAAGTCTTGGATTCTGACATGCAAAAGAAGGGACTGGACAACAAGTCAGCTGATGCACTTTCTAGAGTGGGTCAATATTTTGCAGTACAATCAGTATCCTCTGTACAACCTCTTTGGATACAGGAAATTCTCAATTCTTATGCAGTTGACTTTCAGGCTCAACAAGTTTTGCAAGAACTGGCTATCACTTCTCCTAATGAGCATGGCTTTGAATTGGTGGGGGGTTTGATCAAACATAATGGTAGAATTTGGATTGGTGCTAATTCAGCCTTGCAAACAAAAATCATATCCACCTTTCATTGTCTGCAATAGGTGGCCATTCTGGTGTTCAGGCTACATTTCAACGAGTGCACAAGTTGTTTACTTGGCCACAGTTGCGCACTTCTGTTCAGGAATTTGTTCAGCAGTGTATGGTTTGTCAACAGTCCAAACATGAGTTATGCAGACCACCTGGCCTATTGCAACCTTTACCCATTCCCCAAGGAGCTTGGCAAGACATCTCTTTGGATTTCATTGATGGCTTACCACTGTCAGCAAGTAAGAATGTGATTCTGGTGGTGGTTGATCACTTTACTAAATTTGCCCATTTCATTCCTCTGAAACATCCTTATACGGCTCAGCAAGTGGCTCTTCTTTTTCTGGAAAGGATTGTGGCTCTTTATGGTCTTCTTAAGACTATTGTTTCTGATCGGGATGCGGTGTTTACTAGTCAATTTTGGAAGCAGCTGTTTACTAAGATGAAAGTGCCCTTGAACATGAGTACTGCATATCATCCCCAAACTGACGGCCAACCAGAGCGTGTCAATCAATGTCTTGAGATGTATCTACGTTGTGCTACTGCAGCTTCCCCTTCTCAGTGGTGCTCTTGGCTTCCTTTAGCTCAGTACTGGTATAATACTACTTACCACTCAGCCCTGCATTGTACTCCCTATAAAGCCCTCTTTGGTCAAGACCCACGGTATGCTTTTCTGCCTTAACTTTGTTCTGATTCTGACCCACCTGATGAAGCTGGAGTGCAGACATTGTTGCAAGACAGGCAGCTCTTTTCTGAAATGCTACAGTATCAGTTATTGAGAGCTCAGAATCGCATGAAGCAGTATGCTGATGAGAAACGTTCCTTCCGGGAATTTGCGATGGGTGATAAAGTTTTCTTGAAGCTTCAACCTTATGCCTAGAAATCGGTGGCTTCGCGTCCCTACCCTAAGTTGGCTTTCAAGTATTTTGGACCATTCGAAGTTTTGGTTCGTGTGGGTTCAGTCGCCTATCGTTTACAGTTACCACTTGACAGTCTGATACATCATGTTTTCCATGTGTCCTAGCTCAAGAACTTTGTGCCTTCTCATGTTCCTGTTTTCTCTGAACTACCGTCCACGGTTCAGTTGGATGTTGCGTCTCTGGAACCCTCTGAAATTTTGGATCGTCGTTTGGTCAAGAAAGGTAATGCTGCTTTGACACAAGTTCTGGTGCGTTGGGGCACTCTTCCTCCGGCTTGTGCAACCTGGGAAGACTATACTGTACTGCAAGCACGTTTTCCTTCGGCACCAGTTTGGGGGCAACCTGGTTCTCAAGGGGGCAGCAATGTCACACCGGCTGGTATGCCATCGGCGGCTGACAAGGTGGATACCGGA